ATAACTCCCATTTTATTATTGTGGAATTTACAGTTAGTATTAAGGATATTCTTCTATACATGAAAAATCACTTAAATGTGAGAGAATGGCATTCTACATGTATGTAATATGAAATGTGTCTGATTTGGTATGCATTATTTCAAAAACTGTGAATGTGTGTTAATAACACTACAGCAATCACAAGGTGACTATAACTTGCATTTAATGCATTACAAAAGAGGGTGGGCAAACTTTCTAGAAGAAGCATTTGGTGTTAAAGGTTTTCATAAAAGGACAATCCTGAACTTTATGGATTTTATTAAAACCATATGTTCTTTTTTTTGCTAATCATTTGACACTTAATCAAAACAGAATAAGTACTGAGGGTTGCTGCCTATGTGTCTGATAATCTTTGATGGTTAGAGTTATTTTTCAGATTTTTCCCCCTCATACTGGATTGTGATGCTCTGATATGAGCATGCAGTGACTGATACAGAAATAGGCTGGAGCGTTGGTGTGTGCTTTTGCTATACAACTTACAGTTCTATTGCCTGATGTAGAGATGATGAATTTCTTCTTTTTAAACCTATCTTATGTTTACTCCTTTTGTATTATGAAGGCCCTCTTCAATGATGTATGTTTCTGATGGAATCAGAAAATTTCACACTAGAAAAGTGTACCTAACTTGTTCAGTGTGAGCTCTCGGGACGGGGAGGGGGCCAGGGGTAGAGCTTAAGAAGCCAGCTCTGTAAGAGTTGTATATCAAAGTACCTTCTGCTACAAGGTGCATATAGAAGTCAAAGGTAAGAAATGTACCCTCTGTACTTTATTTTTCATGCCCCTATCATGTTTGGTGTGCCTTAAATCTTACCTTTAAATGAAGACTATGGATTGTTTACAAATGAAGTTTTACACTAGGACCAGATCGTCCATACATGATTGGTCTTCTACAATAATAATGTTAAATTCTCTTTCATTTTAAATCTTTCTTTAGGGTCACAGAAAGAGTAGTTCTTTCAGAAAAGCTATTGCTTTGGTACATGACTTAGTCTGACCAATTGGGTAATGCTGCTTTGAAAAATAGTTTGTCCCTCTCCCCATTCCAAAAATGAATCTATCTAGTCAGAAAAAAAAATATTATCCTACTATTTGTAGATGATTGCTAAGGCCTGAAATAGGAAAGGGGAATGAAGGGATAGAAAAGCTTCAAGTCCCGTGGTGCAGTGAATCCTTTGAGTTTGAGTCTTTTTTACACTTAGTTCTGAAGGTTAACTTACATTGTCCTTGTGGCCTCATATTTATAGAGCTTCTTAACTGTTTTGTACCTCAGATTGTTTTTAGATATCATTGAAGATTGAGATGTACAAATTATGTTGAATTTAACCCGTTTCCCTTGGAGAAATTGCCTCTGATATGTTTCTAACTTAATTTTAGTGTGTTCTAGGAACAGTTTTCCATAAGAGGACAACTTCTCAGCGATCATGATAGTTATTTAGTAAGAAATAATGGTTGTTAATCAAGTACATGTATGTCTTGTCCTTCTCTGACTTCTCTGACTCCGATTCCTTAACTTGCAGTGTTGTCTTAGAAATGGAAAAAGTATCCTCCGGGCTTTCAGACTTTCAGCAACAACAGCCAGTGGGTACCTTTAAGTTCTAGTGTGTTCTGGTCTCTTGTGTGTCCTGAAAGGCAGCAGGAGCATTTCTGGGGTCACACTGATTATTTTGTTAAAGCAGAGTTTCCTGCATGGTTTATGGTGCTGCTCTAATATTTTCTCTTTAAAACTGCGTTAATTTTTGGAGAATGACTTTTTCAACCTTTTCATTGTGAAGGGTTTTTCCCACAAGGTTGTAATGGGCAATGAATAGAAATCCTATCGTAAATGATTGAATATTCAGTGTCATAGTGTGTGGAAATACTCCCTTTCCTTCACATCTGTCTTCTTAGATGTTCTGTCTTTGTCATCATCTGCTCCAGCACGTACTTTGGACTCCTTTACAGGTGACCATTCCTCCCTCCTCAATAGATGTCCTCAGTGTTTTCTAACCATTTAAAACTGAATTTGACGAGTGGCTAAAAACTTAGTCTGAGACTTGTACTTAACATGTGGTTAATTATAGAAATAACAACTATTTTAACAATTACTCTGTTGATTGCTCTTTATGACCACACTTGTATGCCAGGAGGCAGCAGCCTATACACCATTGGACTCTTTACAAGCAACCGATGAACCAATTGCAGTGGATGCAGTTGTCACATTAGTCTTGCTTGGGCCAGACTGGGCTGGGCTATGGGGAGCATTCTCCTTCAGGGGAGTTTCCACAGCTCAGCCCAGGCTCCAGTCTGGTTAGAGAGCATCCAGCCCATTCCTTGCCTCAGTGCCACCTTTTTCTGGGCAAGTGCTTTATACACAGTGAGTACTTCAGATAAACTTACAGCCGTAGCTGCCGAAGAATGGAGAAGGTTGACCACCATTGATTTAATTCTCTAGTGTGAAAGCAATTGAGAGCAGTGTGTCCACAAACCCACAGATGCCTGTGTTTCTGGGAGCTCTCGCAGTGGTGGATTCATAGGCACCTGGGCTGCACTTTGAGTGACACACTTGTGGCTTTATTAGATTCACTGGTTTTTAAAAAATTGTTGTTCGTTTCTTTTCATTAAAGATTTAATCAGCCAGATCAGACAGCATCATTTTGTATTTAATGACAGAAACTTTGGTACATTTTTTCATGAATGAGCTTGCATTCTGAAGCAAGAGCCTACAAAAGGCATCTGTTATAAATGAAAGTTCTGGCTCTGGAGGCCAGTACTCTGTGGAGTTTCGGAGCAGCCAGTGATTGTTCCAATCAGTGATGCCTAGTTATATAGAGGAAGGGTACACTGTGCACTCTTCTAGGTGTAAGGGTATGCAACTTTGGATCTTAAAATTATGTACACATACACGCTTTATATATATGTATGTATGAAAACATGAAATTAGTTTGTCAAAAATGTGTGTGTTTAGTATTTTAGCTTAGTGCAACTATTTCCACATTATTTATTAAATTGATCTAAGACACTTTCTTGTTGACACCTTGAATATTAATGTTCAAGGGTGCAATGTGTATTCCTTTAGATTGTTAAAGCTTAATTACTATGATTTGTAGTAAATTAACTTTTAAAACGTATTTGAGCACTTCTGTAGTGTAATAGGGCTCTTACAGGGTGGGAAAGATTTTAATTTTCCAGTTGCTAATTGAACAGTATGGCCTCATTATATATTTTGATTTATAGGAGTTTGTGTCTAGGTCCCAGGAACATCTTCTGGAGATGACTGTTAGGCAGCTTGTGATGATGTTTTTTTTTAAAAAAAAAAAAACCTAAGTAACTTGGGGAGCCAGAGCATTTCAAACCCATATAGACACCTATCATACCTATATATCCCCTAATACATGGAACATAAATTTTATTTCAACTTTATGCATTAATGTGTTGAAGAGGCAGGCTTTTTTCCAGTAATAATATTGCACATCTAAGGTTGCTATTCAGTAAAATTAATGGAAGAGATCATTATTGAATGCCTTGGAATATGTAAGTGACAAGAGGCCAAATTGTTCATGTTTGTGAGCATGTCTTTCAGATACTCACTAATGGAGACATTCATTTTAGACCTCTAGGCTGGGTGCAGTGGCTCATGCCTGTAGTCACAGCACTTTGGGAGGCTGAGGTGGGTGGATCACAAGGTCAGGAGATCAAGACCATCCTGGCTAACACAGTGAAACCCCGTCTCTACTAAAAATACAACAATTAGCCAGGCATGGTGACACGTGCCTATTGTCCCGGCTACTCGGGAGACTGAGGCAGGAGAATTGCTTGCACTTGGGAGGTGGAGGTAGCAGTGAGCTGAGATAGTGCCATTGCACTCCAGCCTGGGCAACAGAGCAAGACTCTGTCTCAAAAAAAGTAAATAAAATAGACCTCTAGACCCCAAAACCAAGTTAGCAAGCGATAAAAAGTAAATTATTAATAGTAAAGTGGATGCTGGTCTTACAAAGCTCCTATTCACATGAACCCTAAGGTAATTAAAAAGAACTTGCTGTCTCCAGAAAAGGAAGTGGAAAGAATAACTGTATATCTTCTTTTCATGTAATTTGGTCACAGAATAAGGTATTCAAGTTAAGTCTAATCCAAGTCTTAGAGATCTTTAAGTATCTTAAAATAGCAGCCTAAGTAGTCATCATGTAAAGAAGTTGACTTTCAGGAATGTCAGCATTGACCTCTCCTTGCCACTGTTACTCAGCTAAGCATTACTTGCCATTCTTAAAATTAAAAACAAGCTCTCTAAATGAACGTGGAAAAAAAGCTCCCACCCAGAAGTTCTAGTAATACTCAGTTTTGACCTCTTACTGCTTCCATGTGGGATTTCTTTTCAGCTTTTAACCATTAGCATTCTCTACCTGCTATGTTCCTTTCTGGAAAATATCAATTTGGAAATGCTGCCTTTCAAATCAATGCCATGATTATCCATATTGTTGAGTTTGTTGTTGCTGTTCCAGAAGTGTCCCCATTTTACAACTTTATGCACACACCTGGCAAATCATTGACATGAGCATTCAACAGTACTGGGATGGGTGGGGTGGGGGGTGGAGGGCTCACCAACAGAACTGGCCCAGTTGACATTGCCTGAAAAGGCGCCATCTTTGAGGGCCAGTTGTGGGGTTGGTAAGCACAGTTATGAAAATTACTATCTAACCTCCGTTTTGAATGGTTTTAAGAAATTTTGTATATGGAGGATGGAAATGCTTATATATTTATTGAAAATCCTTTTATTTGAAATTAAAATTATTTGGTAAATAATTGTTTGATATTTTGGGAGGGTTTTGGAGGGGTGGTAATTTCACTGATAAATTAAAAGCCTGTTGATTTTGCAGAAAGGTACTGTTAGTGACTGATAGGATGCCTTTGTTTTGTACATGATCCCAATCTTTGTTTTACATTTCTTTTATCCAGAATATTTAGGCATCTGACATTTTCAACCAAAATTTCAATTATATACTGTGATTTTTATTTGTTGCAATACATTAAAATTTCAGAGGTACTTTGGGGCTCAAAAGCTAGGATTTCTAAGTCAGTATGTGCATTTCACATGATAAAGCTGTTAATGGTGAGCAAAGTATTATATACTAACTAGATTTTTCCACATCTGTATAGTATATTATATGTATTTTGTGGTATTGAGAGTATAGAAAGTTTAGAGTGTCAAACATGCGTTTAATGTGTATTTTTAAACAAATTTATGGCAATTAAAATATTTGGAGACAAGGGTATCACATTTCAATTTGTAAAGATCTTTTTAACTCTACTGTGTCATTAAGATGCTTTGTACAATGCCAAACCATAGCTGGAGAAACTAAGTTTAATAAATATCAAATAGATTTTCTGTATTAAAGTTAGTGAACACTGTGCTCTTTATACTTCTTCAACTCTTAGCCCTTTTCATGCAATTCCTGTTTTGTGTCTTCAGGTCTATTACTACAAAGTCTATTCCTGCCAGCTGAGGTCTCATTTTCTGATTACAGAAATTCTGAACTGGCTGGCCATGGGTCGTTGTGCTTATGTCAAAATTTACCTTGTCCCAGCAGAAACCTTAAATCCCTTTTGGTGCTTTTGGTGGCTTGAGCTTTTACTGCTTTATTAAACTAGATTTTTCTTTTTCTCCCTTACATTCAGACAGTCATAGACAAACTTGGGTGTTTGTCTTAGATGGCAAGTACCAAGCTTGACCATCTTTTTTTTTTTTTTTTTGAGACAGAGTCTCGCTCTGTCACCCAGGCTGAAGTGCAGTGGCGTGATCTCGGCTCACTGCAACCTCCACCTCCCAGGTTCAAGTGATTCTCCTGCCGCAGCCTCTCAAGCTTAACTGTCTTCGACACCTCCCTGAAGAGTTATCATGGAGTGAAGGGATCCAGGGCTACAACTTAGGAACTTGTCAAAGCTGATTACATAGCTGTTGCTAAACTTTTGCCTTTAACCTACCATTGTGTTCTTTATAAGATTCTTGAAAAAATGTTAACTCTTACCACACTTTCCAGATCGAGAAGTTAACACATTATTGGGCAGTGCTCTTTTTTTCTGTAGTATACAAAGTGAATCCTTCTTTCCCCCAAAAGCTTGAATTACAGACTGCTAAAATTTCAATTTGAGACATTTAATAGTATCCATAGAAAAATAAACTCTAAAGTGACAAGTTTAGTTATGCTTATCCATATATCAATATTCTAAGAAGAAATGGAGACCAATTTAAAGCATACATCTGCCTTTAAATATTAAAAATACAAGATTGCTTCACTTGTATGTCTCCAGCCAAAATGCAGTTAATCAATATTCCATAGAACGGAGCATTGTCAGAGATGACTGCTATCCTTTCTTCCCCTGGTATGTACTTCATTCCTGGGCCACACTTAAGGAACAACGTCTTTTTCTAGGGGAAAAGAAAAGGCAGTTTTAAGACTGAGTCTAGGAGTGACCAGGGCTACCTCTGCTGCATTTCCCTCTTCTCTTGATCTATTTAGTCTCAAAAAAGACTGAAGAATGGAAAGTCACCAATCTTTCATGGTACCCATGTGGAGCTGTTCTTGGCTCCTAACTCCTAAGGGATTTTTCATGGAGCTCCCAGTCTCAGCTCAGAAGTCCTCCAGCCCAGCTTTATTCTCAGGTTTATTTGTCCCCTGATCACTCCTCTGCCCAGCTTCCCAAGGCTCTCTGGCCCAACCCTGCTGCTAGGTTCGTGGAGTACCTGCATAGCCTTGTGATACACTCAGAATCATCCCGGCAGGAGGCTCCAATGGGCCTGAGGGAAACCCCTCTCCAAAATGGGGTCATTCTCTGTGGTCTTCTCTTTGCTGAACTCACTTCTGCTATTGGGGAGCCATTTATCTGTAGAGCAAAGACATCCAGACATGGAAATGTTGACACCCTGCTGCACACCTTGGAAGAATGATCATTCCCCAGATGCTGCAGACTCAGAACAGAGGAACCATTCCTCAGGACTGAGTCTGGCTTTCAAGTTCCACTTACGGTTCCACCACCACTATCATCACCACACTCCACACATACACATACATATCCGTCCCTCCTTACCTGGCCCAACAGCAACAAGAAGATCATGAGCACTGCACAAAGTTTGAGGTGCCACATCTTGACAGAGGCAGGATGTTGGAGCCTGAAAGCCAGGGACAGTTCCTACTTCCTTTTATAGACTCACATTGACTCTTGCATTGTTACCAGGTGAGATGGGGGCAAAGTTTATATTTGTAATCAGAATCAATTTAATAAGTTAATGTCTACCAGAGGAATGTGCTCAAGGGCCACCTTTCAGGCACAGTGTATTTACTGATCCCTCATCTGGACTTTGAGTGATTGTGTTGCTGGCATGGACCCTTTTGCCCATTTTACCAAAGTCAGCACTGCCCCTCCTTCCCTTTGAAAGCCACGTGAAACCATTGAGGGAGATCAGGCAACTAGCCACATTTCTATTCCAAAATAGCTCAGTGAGATCACTCCCAGTAAAAATAGAATTCCAATAATGAAGTCTTCAGAAACAATGTTGACCCCCTTCAGCCTTGTCTAGGAAAGAAGTACTGATCTGTTGTGTATAGGCAATTAGGATAAGGCCCTTATCTCCTTTCTATGGGAGGATGCTTCAGGAAGGTCTACAGTTCCCCAGCTCCTCCGCTTGCTTAGATGAACTATCACCCTAATCTGCACCAGTTCATCTCACTAGTAGAATGAAGACCTAGCTGTGGAAAGTTCAAAGTCTGGCTTCCTGCCCTCTCAGGGTAATGGCTGGATGTGAGACTTATGTGGACCACAGGTGAATTGAATAATTATAGGTTTCCTTTTGTCTTTAAGCACATGTAGATGAGGAAGTAACAAGATCCCCTAAATCAGAGGGAGCACTTGTGTAGTGACTATATTAAAAGCCTTGAATTATGGGCTTGCTTTCCAGTAGTTGAGTGAGGCCTTTCCTTCCAGCTGCTTCAGGGCAGCAGGCATAGGGATGAGATACCTTCGAAGCCCAAAGCATTCATCAGTTTAAGTAGGAACTGCTGCCAATTTCTAGACGAAGGGAGTGCTCTACTGAGACAAAGGGAGGAGAGGTATCTAAACCATGAGTAGTTATGGGTACTTGTGAAATGGCATGGACATTTTAAGTTCGAGGGGAAAGATGTGAATTCTGAGTAAGGAGATTGATTGGACTTTAGATCTTTCTATGACCTGGGAGGATAATAAGCTTAAGACAAATTCAACAAATTCTATCTGCCAGGCATCGCACTGAAAACTTGGCTAATACCTCTTCCCAAGGCCTTTCTCATCTTTATACGTTGGACATTTGGGTAAGAATCTGCTTGTTCCTTTACCCCAAGAAAAAGAGGAGATGCACAATAGCTGAAGGTAGAAAAGGATGGCCACTGACCCTGCTATCAGGCAGATGGAGCTTCTTGCCAAGGGAGAAGCAGACGGTTTGATGGACCTCCGAGCTGGAAATGGGCAGGATGTGACCACAGATCTGACTATCCTGGTTTTAGTCCTCTCAGAATCACAGAGCCAAGCCTGGAGGGGGATGTCACTGTTTGCACCTTAGGAACATTGAGAAAAGACCTATATACCAACTAACCAGTTCAAACTAGTTAGCTGCTCCCTCCCTTCATCCCTGAGCTTGGATACTGGATGATCCCAGCTAGGGGCCTAACTGGGAACTTTTGTGGGGTGGGGAAGTGGCTATGTGCTGACCTAATGAACATTGGGTAAGAACACAAATGTTGATTAGATAAGCAAAAGACTGAACAACGTAATGTCCTAGAGCCAGTTGGGTCTGTGGACTCAGTGCCAGCCTCCCCTTCACCAGTCTAGAGTGACGTGCCAAGTGGGATTTGGAAACCACTCATCCAAAAGATGAGTAATTCTTCTAATTCTCCATTTCTGCCTTCCTGTACTTCAAACAGAATCAAACTAGCCTGTTGTGTTAATTTGTAAAGCCGATAACATGGTCAAGGAAAAAGCTTAAAGCCCTTGGCCCTCTGTGTAGGGGGAAAAGACTATTCATCCTCATGAGTGTGGCAACACTGCAGAGGCCTTTGGTTCAAGCCTCTATGTTCTATGCCGCCCTCTCCCCAAAAGAAGAAACCATTAGTTACTGTCTGTGGAAGGAACTGCTGTTGGGGAAGGGGAAAGTATTTCAACATATATCTACATTAACTCTGTAGTTGTTTTAGTTAAGTATGGAGCAAAAATCAAACAGCAACATCCAGGCAGCACTTAGCTGAATTGACAGCATTCGTCCACAGCCATCCCATACTTGAGAGACTGTGAAGGCCTCTTCTTGAAATTAAAGAAAAAAAATTCATGGACTCTACAATCATTTTGCTCAGCGAATATACACATAACTACATAACTATATGCACCTTCCTCCCATAGGAAGGCCTAAGTAGGCTTTAACAGTTTCAGCCGTAAGATAGAATGCTTGGCTGGGAAGCAGTAGCCTGGGGTCTAGAGTGCAACTGCCCATAGGCCAGCCCTTCCCCTCTTTGGGCTTTAGTCTCCTGTTCTTTCACTTTGGGGGTTCAAACGATTAATTTACAAGAAGAAAATGAGACAAGCAGATTTGATAGCTGAGAGCTTGGTAACTCTGGATACAACTTTTCAGCGATTGTATGCTTCTGAGGCAAATGCCTAGGATGAAATGGGAGAAAGAGGGTGTAGATACATGAGCAGCTTCTTGAAACACATTCCAGGTCAATCAGTAGGAGTTGGCAGTAATTGGAAACTTTTTTTGCTGTCCCTAAGCAGAAGGTATCTAATAAAAGATGAAAGACCCTAAAATGGAAAAACTTTTCCAGGTAAAATTTCAACAATGGGTCAAAGTGTATTTGCTTTTTTGCTGGCTGGAACTGGCATAGACTTTTGGGCCTACTCTAGGCCTGCATTTTGAGGACTGTTGGCAAACTAAAAGAGCAAGGGCATTCCTTTCACCAGACTCTGCAGTCTGTAGATAAAAGCGCTTGTGGGGACAGGAACATCTGGAGAAAGAAAAGTTAAATGGAGCAAGTGGTTGTGCCGGAGTAGCAAGGAAAGGCTCAACACCCAGGGCTGGAGACTCTGGATGGGCTGCTGGCACTGAAGCCCACAGCAGCTGTCCTCTCTTAAAAAGGCTTTACTCAGATCCTCCTCTGAAGATTTCTGCAAATAGAATGTCCCCTAAAATGATCCCTGTATAGGAGCACTAAGCTGCTAAAACTCACCACTTTCCACACACCTACCACCTCAGCACACCTGCCACACAGGTGAGATCCATGCCCCCAAACTTAAGACAGGGAAGCCCCTTGATGAGACATAGGCTTAAAGCAGATTAATTTCATGCAAAGCAGAAGCTCCGCACATCACAGGGCTAAAGGCAGAGTCAGTCATCTCAGTAGAGCACTTCTGGAATAAAAAACAGGCTCGGTGCCTGGTTTGGGCTGAGAAAAGGGGTTTGGATCTTTTGAGCTGGTCTCTCCAAAGGAGTCAAAGAACCAGGGAGAAATAGTCTAAGTGTAGAAGGCAAGCAAGATGGGAGAGGGTGGCTATCTACTTTGGAGGCTTGGGGCAAACATCAGGGGGTGAAAGACATTAACGGCCTCCCAAAGCAGTGGTCCTTTCCTGGGCCGTGAACTTTTTGAAGCTATGCAAGGTAAGTAAGGGTCCACAGTTTCCTCAGTCTGAACCAAATATGTTGCAAGACCTGGGAATAAACCTGGACCAAGAGGCAAACGGGAAAATTGGACTGTCTTTTGGGGGTGGAAGAATTACTCGGTTAGTTGTCCTGTGTTAACCCTATACCACCTTGCCAGACATTTGTCATTCATTTCACCATCACCACACCCCAAGAACTTTATATTAATAGTTCCATTTTATGGGCAAGAAACTTAGGCTCATGAAGGCAGGTTTCTTGCCTATATCACACAATGAGGAAGTGATGGGCTAAGAGGATGAGCCCAAGACTCAACCTTCTCCCCATATCCTGCCTCATAATGTAGTTTATCTTTTAGGTTTTGTTTGAAGTCTTGCTCTGCCACCCAAGCTGGAGTGCAGTGTCACAATCTCTGCTCACTGAAACCTCCACCACCTGGGTTCAAGCAATTCTGCCTTAGCCTCCTGAGTAGCTGGGATTACAAGTGTACACCACTACACTCAGCTAATTTTTGTATTTTTAGGAGCGAGATGGGGTTTCACCATGTTGGCCAGTCTGGTCTCAAACTCCTGACCACAAGTGATCCACCCACCTCAGCCTCTCAAAGTGCTGGGATTACAGCATGAGCCACCGAATCCAGCCATGTTTTGAAGTTATCTTTTGATTGCTAAAAGGCAATAGCAGTAATTAGGATAATAAACATAGTCTGAGCCAGAATAGAAGTTGCTGCTAGCAGAAGTGTCCTTAGAAGAGTTTCTGTAAACAAATCTCAGCTCTCATATTATGTACTGTGCTGACTGAGCTATGCAACTCACCTTATTCCACATAACCACTACCCCAGGTGAGATCCGTGCACCTAACCTTAAGAGAAGCCTCTCTGAGGGACGAGAGGCATAGAACGGCCAACCACATCTACCCCCACCATCTCCTGGTGGGCGAGGTACCTTTTCTACCAAAAAAAAGAATTTAAGCGCTCTAGAGCAGGGGTTAACTTTTTTTCATAAAGAGCCAGAGTATATCATTGAGGCTTTATGAACCACATATGATTTAAAACACTGTTGGCTCCCTGGCACAGAAAAACAGAAAACTTCTGTGGAGGCCAAGAGATCCCCTCAGGGTAAGGCCTGCCTTAGAAGGAAACCGAGTAGAGCAAGCTTGTCCAACCTGCAGCCCGTGGGCAGCATCTGACCCAACAAAAATTGAGTTGTCTTAAAACATTGAGTTTTTGTAATTTTTTTAAAGCTCATCAACTATCATAGTGTATTTTGTGTGTGACTCAAGGAAGCTAAAACATCGGACACCCCGGAATTAAAACATAGCTTTAAGAGCATCACTTTAGTGCAAGACACCACCATTCACTGCTGTATACTTTCTGGCAAATTACTTAATCTCTGTGACTGTTTCCTCATCTGCAAAAAGAGGGTGACACATCAAGGGTGCTTGTGAGGTTTCACAGTTCATTTGTGTGGATGAGGAGAGTACTCGGAGCCAGGCTTGCAGTGGCTCACGCCTGTAATCCCAGCACTTTGCAACACTGAGACAGGCAGATCACCTAAGGTCAGGAGTTCCAGACCAGCCTGGCCAACATGGTGAGACCCTGTCTCTAATAAAAATACAAAAAATTAGCCAGGAGTGGTGGCCTGCACCTATAATCCCAGCTACTTGGGAGGCTGAGGCAGGAGAATTGCTGGAACCCAGGAGGCAGAGGTGACAGTGAGTGGAGATTGCACCACTGCACTCCAGCCTGGGTGACAGAGCAAGACTCTATCTCAAAAAACAAAAAACAACAACAAAAAATCAGCCAGGCACAGTGGCTCACGCCTGTCATCCCAGCACTTTGGGAGGCTGAGGTGGACGGATCACCTGAGGTCGGGAGTTCAAGACCAGCTTGACCAACATGGAGAAACCCCTCCTCTACTAAAAATACAAAATTAGCCAGGCGTGATGGCACGGGCCTGTAATCCCAGCTACTCGGGAGGCTGAGGCAGGAGAAAGGCTTGAACCCTGGAGTCAGAGGTTGCAGTGGGCCAAGATTGAGCTACTGCACTCCACCCTGGGCAAGAAGAGTGAAACTCCCTCTCAAAAAAAAAAAAAAAGTGTACCTGAAATATAGTAATTACAATATAGTTACTAGACTTTATTGTTATGGCAGCAGAGGGCCAAGAACCAGCATTCCCCACAGCCCATGTCACCCACAAACGGTTAGCTACAGCTACTTTCTTGTAGATTATGGAACAAAAGGCGAGCCCTGCTCCTTCACTAAAACCCTAGACCAGGTAAAAACTTCTAAGACTCATGCTGAGGAGGGGAGCTTCATGAACTTGAATATTAGGGGTCACACAGGATTCTGTTCACAAAAATGTAAAATCACAACAGTGCAGACCATAGGAAGTTTACTGTGTCTTTAAGAGACTACAAATGCAGACTCCTCTTCCAGAGAAAGGTCTTTCAGAGTCAAGGAACTGTCATTCGGGTGCGTTGCTCATTTGTCATTTTCATAGTCAGCCGGATTCTTCCTCTTGGATCTCTCAAACTCTTCATTCCCCCATGTGTAGAGAAGATAAAACCCTATAAACGCTTTAAAAAACAAGAGAGCACACATATAAGACATAAAGAAGAAAAAAAAAGGTCTTAGTCCTCTTGTTTAAAGTATACTCTTCAGTAGTTCTTAGCATATCCAAGGCCGTGTAACTATCATCACTATCTGCTGCATGTTTTACAAAGCATTTCACCACTGGTAAGAATTGGATAAAGATGACCTCAGAAGAACATGCTGGAATCACCCGAGTGACCCTGAGCCAGTCATTTCAGTTCTGTCACTCAGTTTTCCCCGTGTAAGATGGGGAGGATAATATGACCAGCTTATGGGCGGTCACGAATATTCAACGAGAAAGGTGTGTACTGCAAATTACAGAGCGCCTGCCCGACCGCCAGCGCTCAGAGGGGAGCCGCAGTGACTGCTGCTGCTGGGGTCCAGCCTCCCGCCCCCACGGGCCCTGGGCACTCACGCGGCACCACGCGAAGGAAAGACTCCCGAATGCGGCGCACCACGTTGGGGACTCCTTTAGTGAAAACGTGCGGGAAGGCGCGCTGCTCGAAAGGTGACAAGCTGTAGGAGATCACATGTCGCATCCGCGTCAGATTCCCAAACTCGCGGCCCATGGTGGCGGCGGCCCTGCAAGACCAAGGGCGGACGGGCGCTTGGCTCGCTTTCGCGAAGCGCCGCAGTCCCCGCGGGGGTCTGTCCCCAACCCCAGACGCCTGCCCCTGCACTCCTTATCCTTCCCCAGCCCGGGGGGGGGGGCACCCTTAGCCTCCCAGGGTCCACTAACACAGCACAACCAGACGCCACTCACGCACTGGAGTCACCCACCCGACTGCAGTCACCGATTCGGTGGACTCGTTCGTCACTTCCGGTAAGATCGGAAGCGGCTCTTGGAGGACGTGAGATCACTTCTGGGAGATACCATTTTCCTGCTGCCTCCAGGGGGGTGACGCCTTTGTCCCAGAAAGAAGTGTCCTGACTGGGTGACCCGTAGGTGGGCGGTGCCTTGGAGGCCCTCCCTGGGTCCGTGGCTTGGAGCCTAGCGGAGGACGTCGGGGGTTGAGTGGGCTTTGGGGAGCAGTGGACAGGCGGAGGCGCTCACACTTCTCCTCAGCCGTCGGCCTTTCTGTGGAGTCCAGTCAGAAAGCGGTCGAATGCGGGAGGCGGGTGAGGGGACAAAGAGGTGACAAGGAAGGGGCCTGCCGACCTCGGGGCCGCGCTGGCCAGGAGCTTGGGGCCTCCGAGTACTCCCGGCTGTAGACAGAGCGCCTCTGAGTCTCGAGGCCAGGGCACCCCGCAGCAGAGGAGCGCGAAGTTTTATTTGGTCTTGGCCAGTAGCTCAAAGGGGGCTCCGTTATGTTCAGGCCACCAGCAACCCCAGCACCAAAATCAGGGACACACATCTAAGGCTTTTCTTGGTAACCTCTGTTTTAGAGTCCACTGGCAGGGTGTAAACAGTCCCAAGAGATAATACAAACGTTTCTTGAAATTCAGCCACAGAAATCATCAAATAATCATCAAGCAATTGATGAACACTGAGGCTGCGTCGACAGCAGCCAGCCTCCTCCCCAGATGGTTTGCGTGGGGTGAGGGGTATCACTATGCCCCAGTTCTTTCCTCTCCCCACATGAGAAGCAAGGAATGTCGGGTGAGAGGCCTTCTAGTGTTTTCCCTAAAGTACATTCTCCTTAACGATGCTGTTGTGCTGTGCAGCTCATCGTGCGGCAGCTGTCAATGTTTTGTTAGTGGAATTGCTGGCCATATCTAATCTAGGACCAAACTCTGATTCAACAGTTGAGTGTGTTTTCTAATACTGCTTACGGACCACAGAGGCTCGGCAGGCAGTCAACTTGTATTTTGCAGACATGCCTTAATTTTCTCATTCTAGCTACTGCACAGACTGGCTTTGTATCTTGTACTATGAGTGTGAGTTGACTTTCTTCCAGCACAGTCTCCTTCGGGGTGGCGCTGAATATCCCCTCATTTCAGCTTTTTGTGGTGTTCTTTGCCTCATTTTTCTAAACCATAATGTCTAGCCTGGTCTCAGCTCCAAGGCAAGAACAGAAATACAGGTAAGGACAGAAATGCTATAGCGAATTCTACCACCATTTGGATGAATGATAAAAAATAAAACATTTATTGTATAGCATCTGCAAACATCCTAAAACCTTTCAACCAAAATATGTATAGATGAGTGTGTGGACCAAAGTAAGGACATCAAGATGTTATATTTAAAAATAAATCAAGATTAAAGGAATGTCCTTCTCTTTTAGGAACATTGCAAATACGACTGCAATACTCCAAGTACATATTCTGTACCCAGCCACCTGGGACGACTGGGAACTTCTATGCCAATTATGACTTTCTCACCCCTCAAATTAACGTGCACTGAATAATTATATATTGTAAATACCTGGAAGTGGAAGAGGCAGCGGGGATAAATTAAGAGGAAGAGTAAAGCTAATACCATACGTTCATTGAATACCAACAGATCTGAGTATCATCATGAATAATTGGTTAGCTTTTCCACGTGCCTCAGAAGTTTCAATCACCTAACAAACATTTTAGGAATCCAAGTTTCTCAAAAATTGAGAGATTTAAGATAATTCCTCAATTTATTGTAGACTTTCAGCTACATAGCCAGCCCAGTAGTACAACAATGACAGGTTTTAAGTAAATGGCAGGGGAAAAGAGAGGAAAGCTAAATAACCAAATCTCTATCTGATGAATACATTGGCTGAATAAGGTGTTATCAGCTGCTTGATATAGAGCTGATAAAAATCATCTTCAGCTAGGCATACTTGAGGCCTGATTACAGAGGTGATGCTCTTCCACCCACACACCTAAAATTTATTTAAGAGACCAAGGTAGGCTCTTCCTGGCTTTTAGGAAGAGGACTGGCATGGAGAAATAATGTTCCTCACTAGTTCTCCCAAGCCATGGCGCTTCCCAGCAAATTCCTCCTTTGGTTTTGCTGCTTTGACTGGCTGTGTTTTCCTATTAGTGTTGGTTCCCAGGCTTCTAGGGGAGATACTCAGATTGCTGCTAGTGCTGAGTTGGCATCTGAGGCTAAGCCTTGGTCCTTGCTGCAGCCTATAGATGAGAGAGACAGAGCTGGCCTCCTTCCCCCGCTTTTCAAAGTTCTCTCTGGTGGGCGAGGTGGGGCACCTAGGCTGCAGCCAGACTCCAGAGCTTTGCACTACATGAAGAAGCTCTATAAGACATACGCTACGAAGGAAGGAATTCCTAAATGCAATAGAAGTCACCTCTACAATACTGTTCGGCTCTTCACCCCCTGTACCCAGCACAAGCAGGCTCCTGAAGACCAGGTAACAGGTGTGTAAAAGCAGATTGGTTAACTGGATGGAGGGAGGATGGTAAACACTTCTGCATTTCAGTTACAGAAAGGAGCTGAGCCTAGCTCCTTGAATTGCATTTTATTTTGCATAAAACTCAGTATCCAACTGAAACAAATCTGGGACTTGAGCTTATTGTTTGTTCCTGATGCTCTCATTGGTTAAGGTGGGCTTACATGATGGAATTTTAAAGCGACACCAGAGACTTAATGGCTTTCAAGGCTGAGGGGAAATGCTGCTGGAGAATAGTAGCATCTCTTTGTATACCACTAAACTTTTGGCCCGGAAATGGGCTTTAAACATCTCTAACAGCTATTGGTGTGCCATGTTAAATAGGATATTTTTTCCTTGTTACTTTCTTTGAGAGAAAATCTTAAGTCCCCATTTGGAACAGTCAGCCCTTACAAGAACAAAATATTAGTTCACAGTTTGACTCAGCAGTCGGGTATGGTGCTTTAAAAAAATAACATATTTACCAGCTTTTTTTTTTTTCTTTCTGAGACTGAGTCTCACTCTGTGGCCCAGGCTAGAGTGCAGTGGTGCAATCTTGACTCATTGCAACCTCCACCTCCCAGGTTCAAGTGATTCTCCTGCCTCAGCCTCCTGAGTAGCCGGGACTATAGGCGCATGGCACCGTGCCCGGCTTATTTTTGTATTTTTAGTAGAGAATAGGGTTTCACCATATCGGTCAGGCTGATCTTGAACTCCTGACCTCAGGTGATCCACCTGCCTCAGCCTCCTAAAGTGCTGGGATTACAAATGTGAGCCATTGAGCCCAGCAACCAGCTCTTGATTTAAAATCATTGGAACCCAACAGGGCAGTTGTGTCTGCTTAAAATCCTTTCTCCTAGGCCAGGCACAGTGGCTCAAGCTTACAATTCCAGGACTTTGGGAGGCTGAGGTGGACGAATCACTTGAGGTCAGGAGTTGGAGACCAGCCTGGCCAACATGGTGAAACCCCATCTCTACTAAAAATACAAAAATTAGCTGGGCGTGGTGGTGCATTCCTGTAGTCCCAGCTGCTTGGGAAGCTGAGGAAGGAAAATGGCTTGAACCTGGGAGGCGGAGGTTGCAGCGAGCCGAGATTGCACCATTGCACCCTAGCCTGGGCGACAGAGCGAGACTCTGTCTCCAAACAAAAAACCCTTTTTCCTTCCTTAATATCCTATTTTAATATAGTGGTTTTAGAGCATCTGTTTTTAATCTCAAGTGTTCTAAATTAACTCGGACGATTACCTTGTAAATTGGCTTTCTTCACTAAGGCTTAGAATGTCATCTTAATAAGTCTGATAAGTGTTTCTATTATGGTGTGCCCTCTAGAGACGATCCAAGAGAAAAATACTACTTTCCTTATCAGCTGCTTCTATGTTTGGAGCAAATTATTCAGAATGAAACTTCAGGCTGAGCACAATGACTCATGCCTGTGCTTCCAGCACTTTGGGAGGTTGAGGCAAGAGGATCACCTGAGCCCAGAAGTTGGAGAACAGCCTGGGCAACATGGCGAGACCTTGTCTCTACAAAAAAAAAAAAAATTAGCTGGGCGTGGTGGCTCGCACCTGTAGGCCCAACTACTTGGGAGGCTAAGGTGGGAGGATCAGTTGAGCCTGGGAGGTTGAGAGTGCAGTGGCCATGATGGTGCCACTGCCCTCCAGCCTGGGTAACAGAGTGAGACCCTGTCTTGAAAAAAATAAAATTGAAACCTCAGAATGTAGTGATTCCCTGTTACTTTAATTGACCACCAAATCTGACTTTCTAGAGAGAAAATGTCCAGTATGGTTGCTGGGAATTAGTAATGGTACCAGTTGCCTTCCTTTTCTAAATTAAACCCCATTTCTTTTTTGAATCTTGAGAAAGCAGAAAAAAAGAAGGGAGAAAGCATATTACAAAGTACTGATTCTTTGACTTGACTGCCTGTTATGTTGACTCATATTCAAGCACTACTGCTAGATTGTTTTTCTTCTCAGGAATCCTTCCATCAGTGGACCTGCTATTTAACCTGGATCGCATTACTACCGTTGAACACTTACTCAAGTCAGTCTTGCTGTACACTGTCAATGACTCAGTTTCTTTTTCCTCTGCTATCAAGTGTGTGTGCAACCTGATGATGAAGGAGCCAAAGTTTTCTAGCAAGACTCTCCCCAGAGGTCCATACTCATTTACCTTTAAATCACAGTTTGAGTTTGGAAAGAAACACAAGTGGATTGAAATTGATGTGACCAGCCTCCTTCAACCTTTAGTGGCCTCCAACAAGAGAAGTGTTCACATGTCTGTAAATTTTACATGCATGAAAGACCAGCTGCAGCATCCTTTAGCACAGAATGGTTTGTTTAACATGACTCTTCCGGTACCACCCTCACTCATCTTATATTTGAATGACACAAGTGCTCAGGCTTATCACAGGTGGTATTCCCTTCACTATGAAAGGAGGCCTTCCCAGTGTCCTGACCAGGAGAGAAGTCAGTCTGCCTATCCTGTGGGAGAAGAGGCTGCTGAGGATGGGAGAACTTCCCATCACCGTCACCGCAGAGGTCAGGAAACTGTCAGCTCTAAATTGAAGAAGCCTCTGGTCCCAGCTGCCCTCAATCTAAGTGAGTACTTCAAACAGTTTCTTTTTCCCCAAAATGAGTGTGAGCTCCACGACTTTAGACTTAGCTTTAGTCAGCTGAAGTGGGACAACTGGATTGTGGCTCCGCACAGGTACAACCCTCGATACTGTAAAGGGGACTGTCCAAGGGCAGTTGGACATCGGTATGGCTCTCCAGTTCACACCATGGTACAGAACATCATCTATGAGAAGCTGGACTCCTCAGTGCCAAGACCATCATGTGTACCTGCCAAATACAGCCCCTTGAGTGTGTTGACCATTGAACCTGATGGCTCAATTGCCTATAAAGAGTATGAAGATATGATAGCTACAAAGTGTACCTGTCGTTAACAAATGGTCCTCTTAAAACCTTGAGCCTATTTGGCAAAGTATCTGTGCCTTCAAGAGAAAGCTTCATATGTTAAGTCTCAATAAAATGCAGCATATGTTGTATAAAGAGGAGCCTGTGTAGATTAGTACCTTACATGGCATCTATCAGGATAACGGGATAACATCAATCGTTGCTTCAGAGCCTTTTTTTATTTCCAAATTTAAATGAAATATAATTATTGTAGAGAACTTTACATTTTTTTCCTTGAGCTATTTTCTTTTCATAGGAGTCTTTTTCTTGATAGGGAAAACCTTAATTAGCATAAATCCTGGATGGACTTGCACTATAAATAGGCAATTCAGATTGTAGTCTTAATAGAAAAATAAATTTCTGTCAATGGCATAAATTTTTTGTGTGTTTTATTAAAGATTGCTTTTAAGTGATCCTTTGCGGGGGAGAGGAAGTGTCTAAAACCTGGCCATAGCTCAACTTTTGATCCTTTTTCAGGGTGAAAGAGAGCCTAACTTCACCTGAATCCTCATGAAGTGAGACTCAATAGGACTAGAGAGTAGGCAGTTAAACCCATTTCTGTTGCTTTAGTGTGATTGGCGAACAATATACTAATTCTCCTTGTTAACTGGAATATATAAATTAATTAAGTCACACAGAACAAAATAACATTTGTCCCATTCATTTAAAGGAAATTGCCTTGCATACTTTCCCAAGAAAACCTATATACAAGACTTTG